CTCGATTTCCAAACGATCAATTAGAACCCTAATGCTGTCCAAATCCTTAATAGTTACAAAAGTGCCCACGTTCATAGAGGTAAGGATATCTTTCTGAGCTTTGACTGCATCTTCATAGTTCTTCATAAGGGAATCAATCCACTTTCCCATTGATCCTAACGGAATGGAAGTTGCAGCGGTGAGAGCAGCAGCCACAGGTGGTGCAGCCACAGCAGCAGCCACCACCGAGCAAATTAGAACAGCCGCGAATGTAGCTGCAAATATAACGGTTGAGACCTTTCTCCAAGCATGGATAGATTTAAGCTTCCTATCAAGCTTGCCCTTTTGCATGTGCAACTTTTCTAACATGTGCAGTTGCTGCCTGTAAACAGATTGAAAAATTTGGAAGAATTCTTCTGTGAAAGGGTCACCAGCATTCTTGAAAATCTTCAGCTCCTCCAATGTCTTAGTGTACTTAATGTTCCCTTCCGCCTTGGCTTCTTCTTCAAATTGTTGAAGCGCCACAAGAATAAGCAATTGACTATCACGAGCACGCTTTAAACACTTCTCCAATGCAGTACAGAAGTCTAGAGTCTTGAGGCTATTCTCAAAGTACTCCTCAACTAGCTCGAATAATTCTTGATTCTTCCATATGTCTTTCTTACAATCCAAGATAACTTTAACAACCTCCTGATTCATCTCCAACAGACATTCTGTGACTTCCTTCAAGGAATCAAACGACAGGGCTCTAACCTCAACCCCGACAGCAAGAGCATTGATAACGTTGTTGGTTCGTGCTTGGAGAGTTCTATCAAAGGACTGTAAATCTACGTCGACCCTGCAAGCATCTTCATATGAATTCAGATCAGTTGCTAATTGCAGATTGTTGATTGCACTCGAAGTTTCCCCAGGCCTCTTGCTCATATGGCTTCCCATGATCCCAAATCTGATTTATATATCCAAACAAAATTGAGAAACCCAACTTTAAATTTCTATGATATATGTTGCGTTTCATAAATTTCACATGCAATAAATGAATAAAGCATCAATTAATCAAGCTCCGAAAAAATTGAGAAACCCAACTTAAATTTTCTCTGTTTAAGGCTGCAATACATAATTACAGATAAATTACAAAAATCCCTCAATTTGTTCCATCAATCTTCTGATCCCTAAAGTTTAATAATCAAGTTCCCCAACAAAATTGAGAAATCCGACATTAAATCTATAACGTTGCATCACATAAAATACAGATGAAATACAAACATAAATCAATTGTTCCGATCTTCACAGTTCCATAATAAGTTACCCAGAACTTCAAATTTCTAGGTTAAGGCTGGATTACTTAAATTACGGATGAAATACAAAGAAAGAGCAATTTATTAAACAATCTTGTTATCTTGAAAGTGCACATTCAAGTTCCCAAATGACAAAATCTAGCTAATCAGCAAGAAATTAACAGAATCCCAACCAGAACTTAAAATAGAAATATCAAATCCAGACAGAGATAGAAAGCGATACCTGATAGAAAATGACTGGAGAATCAAAACCTTGATTGAAATAGATCCGAGATAAACAGTACTCCAAGACAGAAAAAGAGATTTTATTGGATAATCTAAATACGTAGTTACGAGTTTATAGAAAAAGAAGAAAATGATTGTGTATATATAAAGGAATAAATGTAATGGTGCAAAGACAAAGATTGAGGCTGATAAGGAACGAAGAAGCTTAAAGTGAATCGAAACCGTTAAGCACCCCAAGAAATTGTGGTGGTGGTGGGTATAGATTATGAACAAATAGCTTGCACGCATTCATTTATAATTCAGATTGCAGTTGGGTTACGCCGGAAGCAATTTTTTTTTATTTTTTATTTGCTCCTCTTCTCTTCTCTGCTACAATATACATATATAAATACAGAATGATGGGATTCAACGCGGAAAGAACTGGTGGTCCTAAATACCAGTAGTCTTACTACTTTACCTGGTAGAGACTGAAACTTCCGCTTGAAGGAAATTAATAGAACTTGTTTAGGCCGTATTTGGCTTTACATTTTAAGCAATCCCCACCACCCGCCCACCCACTCACCCTTTATAGACAAAATTTTTTTTTTATTTATTTTAGGGAATGTTAATTTACTTTTTTTTTTTATATAAGTAATATTCTTAAGGTTAGCAAACATGTAGTATATGTGTTGATGGTCTAATTAATTGAATCGAATTGATTCATTATACTGAATTACGTGTGATATTGTCAAGATTAGTTAAACCCCTCCATTATCCTGATCGAGGCAACTGCCTGCCTAAGTCCAATGGATGATTTATAAAAAATTCTACCTCTTTGATCGGTAAACAACTGAATGAGAACTTTAACGACTATTTACCACTTTTAACCCTACTTGTGCACAGATTTACATTTCTAGGGAAAAAAAGAAAAAAAAAACTTTTATAAAATCGACGATCCAAAATTAGTTAAACTGTGTGATAGATAATCGTGAGCAAAAAAAATATTGATGACTTATCTTTTAGCATCACGTGGGCATGAAGAGGATTATTGACTAGTTAGATCAGATTGAAAAATTCCTATAACTTGAATTTGTTGAAAAAGCTTCATCGGATGTCAAATTTAATCTTAGAACATGTAATCCAAATTTCAATTGAGTTTTTACAAACTAATTCATTCGAGAAGGTTTCTTATAAAATTATGTGTAACCTATATTTCAATTTAAAAAAAAATCGCCAAAATATAGGAGAATTTTTCCACTAAGAAATGTTCAACAGAGATAAATAAACAATTTAAGATATATTGACATGTTCATTAAATTCATTTCACCCTCTTAATTCAAAACAGTGCTATACAAAAATAAATAAATAAATAAATAATGCGGAATTATAAAATTAATGGGAATTAATTCAAACCTGATAATTAACAGTTGCTGTATAGCCAGGTAAAATGATCCTGATGTAGATTGATTTGATCACTCCGCCGTAGAATGAAACAGTATATTTATACTGATCAAAGTGACTTGCAAGGCAAGTGATTCATAAAAACGGTTACTTTTTACAAACGATCAAATTAGTTTAAAGTCATTCATTCATGTGAAAAGCACAAATTTGTCAAAGATATTCATTAATACTGCAATCAGCTCAACAACTTATAATTAAGGAGTTTTAATGCGGAAACTAGTTTAAAAAAATCTGATTTTCAGCAACTTTTCTTCGCCAGCCCTTTTTTTATTTTGTTAAAAAACAATTTTTAGTAAATTTTTATTAAAAAAAAAAAAAAAAAAAGCTAAAGGAATGTGCCGTTGAAATACCGATAAAAGTTAATAATGCATTTTATAATGTGGTGTCCACTTTGAGATACAATTTTTTAAGCTAAACTGAAACCGACTGGTGAAGAAAATAAATCCCGAATACAGATATTTTTATGGCAGGCAACACGTAAAATTGAATTTCAATGATATTCCTCTGCAATTCTCTTAGATTGCTGCACAAATTAGTAATATCACGAGCCCATTTGATACGGATTAAAGATTTTAATCTAAGTCAAAGTCAAAGTCAAAGAATCAACATTAACCACATCTTTTATGAGTTCCAGAACTTGTTAACCATAAATTTCAAGAATTTCTATTACAATCTACTAAAAAATCTAATTTTAATCCCCACCATTTATTCATTAGGTATTTGTAAAATAAAAATTCACTTTTAACTTGATTACTTCAAATGTTCATTAGCTATTTGGGAAGATAAGATTTATTATTATTATTATTATTATTATTATTATTATTATTATTATTATTATTATTATCGAATTTGAGGTAAAAATGTTCGTGTAGATAAACTAGCCCTCATGTTCTCTGTTATATCGATTCGAATAATAAAATCAATGGTTGTGTTTGTTTGCAGTGAATTTGTATCAAATATTGTTATGTGTGGCAATAATTATAAACATTATAAACTAATCAACAAAGTGAGAAAAAAAGGGAACAGATGTACGTAGTTCGATAGTAGGCCTACATCCATGAGAGCAAAGGGGAGTTGATATTCACTATATGAAAATAATAGAGTTACAACAAACATATATACACTAGCCCTAGCCCTAGCCCTAGCCCACACAAGATATAATGGAAAATCCAAAAATAGCCTTGTACCGTACTGCATGGGCATTCAGCGTCTTTGTTTGTAGTAAATTATAAGCCCCAAAGATTGATGTCGTCGTTACGCTCCATTCCATTCGGTGCACTCTGCTCCGGCATCGTCCATGCTTTTTTAGTATACATGTGTTCAACTTTATGTGAGTCATATATTAAAACAAAAATATGTGTTTTTTTTTTCTCATTTACTAATCCAAGCTCTCTCTATTCTGAATGGCTGTAGCGGAAGATTTTGAACTCTTTTCTCGAAGATTTGTGTAATAATTCGCTCACATCATGCTATAATCAAAGCAGGTGGAATTACAATTGCTTCTTAGTCCCATTGGCTTTAATGTCATCATTCGAACAACATGGTGAGCTTCAAATCTTTCACATAGTTATCACTTAAGAACCGTTCTGTTTTCCATTCCTCTGATGGCACGTCAGTATCAAAGGATATTGATATCGCTTTGGTATAGGTCCTTCGCATGCATATTATGCTTCTGTATTCCTTGTTGGAATAATTAATAATTTCATATGTGGGCTTCACATTCGATTGTAAATTTTACGGGTTACATGTATGGCTCATAATGATATTTGTGTTTGAGCCAAATTTATTAAGTGATCAATTGGACATTTTACACCTTACGGGTTGTAATTAATTTGATATGGTAATTTAAAGTATGTGGGCAGGAAGTAAATCCTAATTAGAATTCTAGTCGTAATGGGATGACTCAATTATTTCCTATATAAAGACTAGGTCCTCTCTCCTCTCCATAAGTTTTTTATTGGCTTGCCCCGTTGATAACTAATATTTTTGTGAAGAACAAGGAGAGGAAAATCTTGACTGCTATTACAATTATTATTCATATCAACAATGACTTCCGCAAGTATGAATTCGTTTCTATTAATTTATTGGATTGTGATTATCGATTCTTAACATGATTAAAACTAAATATTAACAATTGGTATCAGAGCAACATGTTAAGATCGAAATTCTTCATGAAATTTTTTCTTATCTCACTTTGAAAAATGTCTTGTGTGCATACATTAAAATTATATGTGTAATGTATAGTTCATTGTATAACACGTACGTAGATTTATGGTTACCAATGTGTCATTGAATTAATTCCTATTTCCTTCACGTGGTTGAGTAACCCACAAGCAGGAACAACAAATGCTTATAGTGTCCCTCTCTCTCCTCCTTATATATATATAATGCGTGAATCCGTCTTCCGCAGTATGGCTTCCAAATTCTTCCACTTTCCATTGGAGGCCTTTGTTTTTGCATCAATTTTAATTGAAGAATTGTGTGGTGTTTAATATGAGTAGTTGATTGTTATTAAAAAAAATAAAAACTTTAATTATGGGGTCAGAGTGCAATTTTCAATAAGGGGCTCTTAAATTTGAACTTCTAAACTTTTAACCCTAACATTTTATTTTTGACCAAATTAAAACTTTAATTGATAATTGACCTGATTAAAATATAATAATAATAATAATAATAATAATAATAATAATAATAATAATAATAATAATAATAATAATAATAATTTGATTGACTACTTTTATATTTTTCGTTAAAATGTTTATGCATTTAAATGTTGCCATTATTTGTGCGCCCAAATTTCAATTTTTTTATGTATACTAAAATTTTGTTGCAAATTTCGTTTCTCAATCACATATGAATTTTTACCTTTCATCAATTGACAATTATAATTTGTTACATAATTACTGTTTTGTGAATGAATTTTTCATGGGCATTGAGACGATTCTTGTTTTCCCACTATGAGAGAAATATTTTGAAATAAAAATGGGTGGTAGCTGTCAAAGTGGAACACTCATTATTATTTGTTCGATTTTCTCTACAATAAAAATGCATATATTTTTGCCCAACAACTTTTGATTTATTGCATATAATATCTTGTCCAAAAGTGTTATTATATGTAATATTTTTGGAAAATGGCATAAAACAGTTAACGAGCTTATTTTGATTTAGAAATTTCCTTCTGCCCAAAGGTGTTAGTGTTTCGAAAATCAGTGCAATTTTGTTAACTGGCTACATGATGTGTTTTAAGAGTACCTTATAACATGTTGTATTGTCGATCCAAAGGTGACTTTATGATGATGCACTTAGGCTCTTACCGTAATAAAATTCATATGTTTCGACTTAAATTACGAATTATCTAATTAATAGCCCATATTAATTAGTTGGATATTATATCATCCATTTGATTGCATGCATTACGTTTGGATGATATTATGTTTCCACAATTTATAATGCCTCATCTCTTTCAAATCAATTGTCTGCTATTGAAATTTTGATTGAGAATAACTATGTGAGATGGAAACGAGACGTAGAAATAGCACTTGGTCTTTTGGGCTTGGATTTTGCAATGGAGAAAAAGCTTGAGAAACTCACAGATAAGAGTACCGTTGAATATTTAGCCGAGCATGAAAAGTAGGAAAGGGCTAACAAACTCTGTTTGAAACTCATTTAAGCGACTGATGTCTGATTCCATTCTAGGTGCCATCCCTATAATGAAAATGCCAAAAGTTTTATGGATGTCATAGGAAAAAAATTTATTGAGTCTGATAAAGCCGAAACTGGGGATATGATGGATAAATTGATGAGCATGAAATATGATGGCACAAGTAGTGTTAGGGAGCATGTCACGAAAATGATAAATATATCATTTAAGCTAAAGGCTCTTGACATTCCCATTGCGGAGCCTTTCCTAGTCTATCATGTTTTGAATAGCCTTTCTAGCAAGTTTAATCAGCTTCAGGTTGCTTACAATGCTCAGCGGGATAAATGGAATTTGAATGACCTCATAGCAGTGTGTGCCCAAGAAGAGTATAAGATGCGCCGTGAAACTGTTGAAACTGTGCAATTAGCTTTTT